GGACTCCACTATAAAGGAGCGATGTCTACATTGTGGCCAACCGAGACGCCACGCAAGTTTATTACCTCCCATGGGCGTGCCAAAAGGCGAAGCTTGCGGGGTGGAGCCTTGTGCATTTGGTGTCGCCACACACAAAGCCCTCTCCCAAACGACAACGATTACAACTTTGACCCAAGCACCGATGAGTTCTATCAACTTTGAGGGGCTAGAAGGTACCTTGGAGATCGACATTGGTTCGCTCATGGGCATGGAAGTAGACAACGAAATTGATGAGGGCGAGGGTGAGGAGGTGCAGGATGCCAGGGACTTAAGAATGCTTGAGCGATGGCAGATGCAGCGCGATGGAGTTGTCCAGGAGGAGGTACATGATGATGACTATGGAGACGATGAGGATGATGATGACAGTGATGACTTAAGGGAGGTCGACAATATTGATAGCGATGACGATTTATAGTGATAGAGATGACGACTCCACGCCGAGATATTGCCGTTCATGCGGAGATAATTACGAGGCCATGTAATACTATATTGTTATTATTATGTTCCTTTACAAGTACTTGTCATTTATTTATGCTAACAGTTTTGTTCTTTGTCATTGCGGGCACTTTCGGCAAAATGCCGGCGGACGGCGCGGCAGCGGTAACGCATCGAGCGCTTCGGCGTACGAGTCCCCAGCGAGGAGACCGCCCGGCGGCGACGAGGAGGAGGAGGAGGTGTTGGTGCGCGGGTCGTCCAATAGGGGTCCCACCCCAATGACACATCGCCAGCGACCGAGGCTGCTTGTTCTCGTCCTCGCAAGAGGGGACGACGTCGCGTGACGACGAAGCTTGGCGGCGGCGACGATGATGACGACGACGACGGCGACACGCGCCTACACCAAAGAGGCGGCCCGACTTCGTCGGCGTGGCCAAGGTGTACTCGCTGCGCCCACGCAGCTTCCTAGGTGCGGCCGCAATTCCACCAAATACCGGTGATCACACCGTGGGGCAGACGTAAGTAACCATTATTGATTTCACTACTTGTTCATATGACATGTCAAAATCGGCGAAGACTAACAATTGTTCTTAATGACTCGTGCGGTTCCTAGAAGATTGTGAGTGGAGCAGTCAAGCACGCCATATCAATGGCATCCGGGCCTCCCCGATTAAGGAGTACTACCCCCCGCTCCTTGTCAACGTCAACGGCGAGATGAAGGTGCCCACCAAGTGGTCCCACTTCTACCTCGTCGAGGAGGGTGGCGAGACCATCGCGCAACAAAGATAAAGAGGAGTTTTGGGTGAGTCTTTCATCGCACCGCATTGCTAAATAGTATGCATTCGTGGGACTTCTTGCAAAAGGAAATGCTACATGATGTGTCTGTGCGGGACTTCTTCACGTCGAGGAGGGTAAAGCGGCCCAAAGTGGCGCGAAAGTGCGGAGGCGGTCTGCAAAGATCGTCTCAAGGACCTGTACCATGAGGCGCGCATATCAAAGGCCATCCGCGACTTCCACGCCAACGTGCTTGGAGAGAACATCAAGAAGCCCCAAATCCGCCATGAGAATGAACTCGAGGGAGGCCGACCTCACCCAAGCGCAATCTGAAGGTGTAATTAAGTATGACAACATTCGTTCGATTCCTTCAATTGAAACATTACACTAATCTTCTCGCATGTCAAATACTTGATGTCATGCGAGTGTGTCCGTCGTGGTGCGACAACCACGAGGAATCTTTGGGCGGAGATTGTGCGCATGTGGCGCCGGATGAGCGTCTGCGAGGCGCCCGACCGTCGAGAACCGCCCAGCCTTATGCGATCGCGAGGTGTCACACCACCAAGGGAATCAGCCCCCCCCCGATTCGCGACAAGATGGGTATGCATCCGTTCATGTCTTAATCCTTGCGCTCAATTGTCAATACTTGTAACCATGTTTGTGTTTTCAATGCAGACGCAGACGTACGGTGGGCAGGAAATCAACGAGTACACCGCGTACCTCCTCTCTCACAAGGGCAAGGCGACGGATCCAAACAACGTCTACAACCCGGAGGACGGGCCCGATGCGTACACCAACCCCACCGCCTACGAGAAGGCCACCGAGTACACCGTCGCGGCTCGCCAGCGCTACGGGGAGACGTTCGACCCCACCGCCGAGCCCATGGACACAGACCTCCTGCAGAGGTTGGGACCAGGGAAGCAGCACGACCGCTACTACATGGCCACAGCGCCCTCGACCCGTCCCAGGTTCCTACGCTGACCCAGGTTCGATCCACGCCCACGAGCTCCAGCGACATCCCCGTAGCGCCCCGGCGGCAGTCAGCGTCACAGGTAAGTGCCGTTTCGTTCGTCGTCCACTTTCGTTTCGCTTTTGTACATACAATCAACACTGCGGATGTAATATTGCGAGCCCGAGATGGAGGCCAAGATGGAGGAGAGGATCGCCACGTTGCCGCGCAGAGATGATGGCGCAACAGATGGCTTACCGGCAAAAAGCTGCGGCGGCACTACAACACTTTCGGATGCGAGAACATGGCGGCTTCTTCCGGTCCATGCAGACGCCGGGCGTCTACACGCCTCCTCTTCCAATGTTCGCTCCACCGCCTCCTCCTCCGAGTTTTTTTTTCACATGCTGCTCCTGCCGCTCTGGAGGGACCCGGTGAAATATATTGACTCTTGCTTTAACTTGTGCGTCCATCTTTGCGATATACTAATGACATCACTTGGCGTTTAACTTGTGCGAGTACGATCGCGAGTTCGAACCCGTCTCTGGAGGTCCCGCCATCGATGATGTCGTATCCACCACCGCACCCTATCCACCGTATCCACCTCCGCGTGGCCCTCCTCCGACGTACTTTCGTGGCGCCGGTCTTGCGGAGGGTGGCGATCTGTATGGCGCCTCGCTTTGGTCCAAGGGGTTTCCGTGGGCAAACCACAGGGGGCTCTGAGGCGGAGCGAGACGGCGAGACCGGGGGCGGCGCGGACGAGCTAGGTATTTGTCGATTCATTATCATGTATCCACCGTATCGTCGAAGTTGTTGTCATGTATTTCTTTTCTTCGTTATGGACCTAGACTTGTTATGTTGAACTTAGTGTGATGGGCGTCGACTTTGTGGTGTTCGACGTGTTGGACTTCATGTGATGGTTGTAATGCACTTGTGTGGTTGTTATTGTGACATATATGTGAGATATATGTGATGTTGTGCGTTATTGTGATATATGTGGTGATGTTGGCGACAAATGTGATGAAATTGTGATATAAATGGTGCTACCGGTGCTTACGGTGAAATTAGATTATAATTTGTGATTTTGCGGGGTTTTGATGCGAGAAAGCAGAAAACAAAAGCAAAAAAAAATTCCAACTTTTGCATTTTTTCTGATCGTAAAAAGCTGAACAAACTCAGACGAGTCTTTGCCGATTTGCAATGGGAGGCGATCGGCAAGAGGTCAAACCTTTGCCGATTTGTAACTCAGCGATCGGCAAAGAACATTTCAAAAAATATTTTTCTTTCTTTCTTGCATTAGCCGAGGAACCAAAGATCGGCAAAAAATCGCCGTCGGTGACGGCATGCGTTAACTATATGCTTATTCTTGGCGTGGCGGTTGGCAAAACTTTTTGCCGATGTGCCACGTGGCGGTCGGCAAATCCGCCTTTGCCGACCCGAGGGCTTTGCCGACTGCTCTTTGCCGACTGCCACGTGGCTTTGCGGTCGGCAAAGCCTTTGCCGACTGGGTTTATGCCTTTGCCGACCGGGGCAAGCAGTCGGCAAAGAGGCGTTTTCCTGTAGTGATACATGGTTTTATAGCATTGGATATTAGTCCTTTCCGCTATATTTCTATTTTGGTTGATTCCATGACAACTCAGGAAAAAACGTCTTAGCTGGCACTCGTTTAACACTTGTACAAGAACGTTTTTTGTTGACACTTATGATTTTTTCCACTAGTGGTTTATAATAAATAGGCACCTCTAAAAGTAGATCCGTGGGTACATGGCTATATAAACCAACATTGTATATAATACATCTTTATTGGGGTGTTTTTCTTAAGGCTGCCGCCAGTACAAACCATGTAATCGCCAGTGTAAATATATGATTTATACTGGTGGCAACCTTAAAAAAACTGTCATTGTAAAACCTTTCCGCAAGCGAGCACTTTAAAGTGTCCGCCACTATTAATCAGGTTAACAGTGTGCATCAAACAAAAGTTGTAGTACTTGAAGAGGTCTAAGACTTTCTAGTTCATTTTTTTTCATTTGGATCCGTTTATGGTCTCAAATACGTATTGCAATATATTTAAGTGAATACTAAAGGAACGTACCGCCTGCTATTCAGTTACAATTGACATTGAGACGTAGTGGTTAGAAAAAGAATGCGTGAGGCCTATAAGGTTGTAAGTTTGATCCTCAGCCACCGCACACGTGTATTTCACGTGAAAAATATGGTGATTAGAAATAGTCTGCTATATTTTTCCCCAACTTGCAAATTCTAGAAAAAGATTTATACTAGCGGTTTGTGTTGTGTAAGCATGCCGTTAGTGTACATCGTTTGAGAGTGATGGCATCCTTAAGAAAATCGCCAGTGACGTTATTAGAGTTGGATGATTTTTACTGATCTTTTACACGCTAACAATTTACAAAAACGCTAGTACAAATCAGAACAAAAAATACTGCCAGTACAAATGTTTTCTGTACGTAGCAGTGACAGCATAATTAAATGCGCATCCCTTTCCCGTCCTCGTGGCTGCGCGAGGATCAAGCAAGTTGTTTCACAGTTTCACACAGAGGAATGCGATGCATTGCCTGCAACGGATGCGATGACGCGACAAATTAAAAGCCGCGAGCCGCCCGGCCGTTCATCCCACGTGCGACATACTCCGGCGCAGCAGGATGGGTGTGGGAGAGCTGGAGGGTGGAGCTGGTTTCCCTATAAATAGCATGATGGCATCCATCTGCATGTTCCGTCCCGCAGCTGCTCACCAGAACGTACGTACTGCACTACTACAGTACAGTACTACGTACACCGAAGGTTCGGGATGGGTGGCGCTGCTCGTCGTAGGTTGGTTCCTGCTGTCTTGGCGGCGGCGGCGCTCCTCGTGGCGGCCGCCTTCCTCATCTCGTCTGCCGAGGCGGCGGCAGAGACGACGGCGGTAGCCGGCGACGAGCCATCGTTCGACTCCATCTTCGCCTTCGGCGACTCCTTCACGGACGCGGGCAACAACCCCGTGGTGTTCGGCTGGTACGACGTGTTCGACGTCGTCATGCGGCCTCCCTACGACACGACTTTCTTCGGCGGCCACCCCACCGGCCGTAACTCCAACGGCCGCCTCATCATCGACTTCATCGGTACGCCGGCCGTGAACTCACTCAGCTCGATCGACGACCTCTATATATCCATGCATGCACCAGACTCTGAACATGTGTAATTTTCATTCAGCTCAAGGCCTGGGTTTGCCACTGGTGCCGCCGTACCTGTCGCACAACGGGAGCTTCCGGCAGGGCGCCAACTTCGCCGTCGGCGGCGCCACCGCTATCAACTCCAGCTTCTTCCACATCGGGGACGGTCCGGGCGCCAGCCTGTTCCCTCTCAACACCAGCCTTGAGGTGCAGCTCGAATGGTTCGAGGACCTCAAGCCTTCCTTGTGCGAAACAGAGCAAGGTTATTATAGTATACTCGTAGATATATATATACACATACTACTCTATCTAAGTATATAAACTTGAGTTTCACAGATATATGCGGACCGAAGAATGAACTGAACATGTGAACATGCATGCGCATAAAATACATGTGACACAGCCCTGCAGGTTCAGAACTGTGGTTATGCATGCTAGCTAGCTAAGGCCTTGTTTGGATGCGCATCAGCGCATGTATCCATCCTAATCCACATGTGTTGAAGTGAATTAGAGTGTGATTAAACTAAATTTCATTCCAATCCACTCCAACACATGCAGATTGAAATTGATACACATGCATCCAAACAAGGCCTAAATGAGAACGGACAGTGCCCTGCTAGACCAGCGTGCACGGACGCAGGATTTTATGGAAGAACATACGCTGATTCGCAGTAAACAAACTAAAAGTCGATTGAGAGGAAATAGCTAAAAAAAAATTAGAGGCCCTTGCTACAGGAAATGAAAATTTGCTGTGAATGAAAAAAAAAACTCACTATGGAATTTGATTAGTCTTAGCTTTTCTTGGAAGATAAAGTTTAAATCATTCATGTCATACATAGTGTCATATATAAGTTACTCCATTTCAAATTATTAAATGTTTTGGCTTTTTTAGATTCATAGCTTTAGTTATTTATTTAGAATTTTAATAATATATACATCATATTTAGATACATAGTAAAAACAATTAATATATCTAGAAAAACAAAACATCTTATAATTTGGATAATTTGGAACAGAAGGAGTAGTACATTTGTCCAGTCAAGACCCTGACTAGCCGGTAACGACAGATTTTGGCAACCGTTGTTGTACCTTTTCATATACAACGATCTTTTGTGTACAACTAATCCTCCTTCGGTTTTTATTTACATGTTGTATTAGGTTTTTCCTAAATTAAAAATTTGTATATCATGATTTTAAAAAATATATATATACTTCCTCCTTCCCAGAAAGAAAGTGGTTATGGGATATGTGCAGGTAAAATTTTTTCAACTTTAACTAGGTTTATAGAAAATACGTGTAACATTTATATCTCTATATAAGTTTATTATGAAAGATATTCAACGATCATCTAATGATACTAATTTTATATTATAAATATTAATATTCTTTTATATATAATTGGTCAAAATTAAAAAAGTTAACTTCTCGGGAAACGAGAATGACTTCTGTTTTGGGACAGAGGGAGTAGGTTCATGCCATAAGATTTATGTTTTTAGATTTACTACGAAAATTACTTTCATAATATATAATTTATATTTTGTAAGACTATAAAGATTTTTCGAAATAGATGGCCAAATATAGCAATGTTTGACCTAGGACAAACATAATATGACATGTAGAAAAGAATGGAGGGAGAGCACAACTGTGGATTTGAACCATTATTAGATACCTGCATATTTACGAGTCTCCATAGTATTTATTACTACTTCCTGCATTCCAAATTGTATTTGGAAAAGCTAGAATGACTTGAATAGTTGAATTTAGAATGAAGGGAGTACTAGCTAATAATTAATCTTAAGTTGTACTACTGCTTATTATTAAGCAGTAAGAAAATGATGTAGTGCTATATATATAGCCGTGCTCAATGGGGAGTGTACGTGTGCTTTTTTTTTTACTGCAGAGTGCATGGATTTCTTCGGCAGATCGCTGTTCTTCGTGGGAGAATTCGGGATCAACGACTACCAATACTCGTTCGGGAAGAAGAGCATGCAAGAAATCAGAGACTTCGTGCCAGATCTCATCCAGACCATCTCCATGGGCGCTGAGGCAAGAACTATACACTTTTCCTCCCTCTTCCAATGCAATAAACACGGCGTTCAACTCATTTTAATTAATAACAACATCGCTCATCACAAAAAGCAGAGAGTGATCGAGCATGGGGCGAAGACTGTGGTCATCCCGGGGATGATCCCGATGGGATGCGCGCCGCCAGTCCTGGTCACCTTCGCCGACGCCGACGCGTCAGAGTACGACGCCACCACTGGGTGTCTCAAGGAGCCCAACGAGATCGTGACGCTCCACAACTCGCTGCTGCTGGACGCCGTGGACAAGCTCCGGGCGGAGCACCCCGACGTGACCATCATCCACACCGACCTCTTCAACCACGTCATGGAGATGGTCAAGTCGCCTGAAAAATTCGGTCAGTTACTCTCCTTTATTACCATTCGGAGGGCTCATTCGGTTCCAGGGAACTGTTCCTCGGAACAACTCTTAGGGCCCGTTCGTTTCCCCTGAATCACCGCCAGGAACTATTCCCCGTCGGAATCGTTAGTTTATTTGTATAAGATTTCATCAGCAGGAATGAATCCTGGTGTCAAACTGCCCCAAACAAACGAGCCCTTAGCCTAGATTGCTTGCCTAATTTATATAACCTTTGATCAGCTGAAACGATTCCTGGGTGGATCGAATCTAGGCTAACCGAACGAGCCCTCATTCTATTCCGAACTAGCAAGTCCCTAATAAGCTTTTTTTTTTAAAGCAAGTCCGTAATAAGTTGATGATGACGATGATGAGCGGAGTGGGTTGCACGCATGCAGGGCTTAAAAGAGATGTTCTTACGGTTTGCTGCGGAGGGAGTGGGAGGTACCACTACAACCTGTCAGTGGCCTGTGGCGACGAAGCGGCGACGGTGTGCGAGGATCCATCCAAAAGCCTCTTCTGGGACGGCGTCCACCTCACGGAGGCGCCGTACCACTACATCGCTAAAGACTGGCTCAACACCATCCTGAGCAGTGTATCTGCAGGAGCAGCTACTACTATGGCCTACGCCTCAATATAATGCGATGATATATGCATGGACACACGTACGGTTGCTGAATATGTATATGTAATTGCACTGTTGCAGTCAATCAGATCCTTATATATTTCACTGCAACCTTAAATAAGATGATTGTTGTAAATGTGTTACAATGGACTTCTAAATAAAATTGTTATTATGTCTACATTGTAAAAAAAACTCATTGAAAAACAGCTAGCTAAGGTTGTGTTTGGTTCTGGGATATAGAGGATGGGATGGTTCCGCCCCTCCTTTGAGGGATAGGATCGTCCCTATTTCATGTTTGGTTGAGAGGGAGATGTTTGGTTGTGATTCCTGAGTAGCACCATGAGCTCCTGAGTTTAACATATTTAACCGTGCCACCTACAATGGACTTACTAGTTACTACGTACCCTGATAACATGCATGGAGGAACATCGTATCGCTTGCTCATTTTAGTATGAAATTAACGTGAATACCTCTCTATATATACAGCCAAATTAAATAAGTATGGATCCACGGATGGCCACACCAACATGACACTGACACATATGGGTAGTAATAAGGCTCCATCAACCGGTCATCACTGCATCGAATCCGGTCCATCCACATCATGTGTGATACATGTCCCTAGAACTGTTTGTCCAAACTAAATCTGCTTCATTAAGGATTGATACTAACCGGTGATGATGATAAGGAATCTTAACCAATCATAGATTCATATTCAATTTTTTTTGTAATTTCGTATACAAATAATTCTGAATTCCGACATCAATGGTGACATATATATACATTTGTTGTTCGTTTTTTTTTTTTTGAGATTATAAATTTGTTGTTCTAATAGCATCGACAATTATGAATGCATATTTACCATTAGAACGATGTTTCACAATTATGAATTAATCGTCAACATTTACTTTGTATTGCTTGCCAAAATAACTAGCTAAATATATCTTTTTAGAGGAAAACTACTAGAGGTGTGTGCGTGTGTAGACACACACACAGAGAGGGTCACCACTCACCTATATATGGTTCATAACTCTCATTTGTCTTGGTCGACTTTGAAGTCAATGGAAGGAGGTTGAGACGGTACGGTACTGTGCTGCCTCGGCACCTCTCAAGTCTCAAGGGATCACGATCGTCTTTAATTGGTCCCATTCCAGCCAGTCATCGAGTTGATCATGATTTTAAACTATACATAGGCTCCGTTTGGATCAGCTAAAATCTTTATAAGCCGCATTAGCTGAGAGCCTGAGAACGTCAGTTAATAGCTTTTTATAAACTATGTGATTGAATAGCTTAAAATGGACCGTAAGCTAGTCCCTCCGTGCTATCTTACTATTACTAATTAGTGGCACCATGTTAACTCTCACGAGACGCGCTAAGAAAAAAGATAAATCCTAAAAATTCTCACAATAATCAGAAACTTCCGGCCTTTAATTTGGTAGACTCTAATCATCATCTCCGATAATAGTCATTGGGTCTATTGTAATTTTGTAAAAAAAATTACCCACCTCTGCCATTATAAAAATACATAAAGTAACCCCTAATTTTACATCTAAATTATCCACCTCTGTCATTATAAAAGATAATTGAAAATAACCCCCTAAATTTATATATAAATTACCCACACTAATCATTATGAAAAGTGATTCAAAATAACCCCCTAAATTTGTATCTAAATTACCCACTTTGCCATTATGAAATATAATTCGTAATAACCCCTTCACATTGCATCTAAATTACCCCACGTCTCTCAAATTTATATGTAAATGCTAATATATGCTATTACAAAAAAAATCAACATCGATAGAGTACGAGACATATATATATTTTTAAATTACAAACTTCCACAACTGTGAAATTAAATAACCATGATGCTATGTTTGACCATCTATACCAAGTAAACATATATACATTACGATAATTATTTATTTTAATATGTTATAAGCTTGGAAAATGATTAATTAAGAAACCACATAGCAATAACATAACACCGACAATTCACTTTAAATTATATTAATACTCCATAATAATAAATTTCATAAGTTGTTATTTTAGATAATTTTATATATTTTAATTGAAACATTATGTCATATCCATATTGGTAATTTATTTTTTAGCACTCTATGATATATAAAAACAATACTATACACATATAATTCTATGAGATAACAATTCAATAAGTTCGGTGCTAAGGTGCAATCTGAGTTTCAACTTAATTAACATATGAAAATAATACAACTAGGACATAAACTCTTTTTAACAAAAAATAAATTTTGAATAAAACATAAAAAAAACTAGAGTTTCTACTTAACATGTGGAAAAATGTACAACTTGATTAAAGGTTGAAACCTAAACTATAATTCGTGGAGTCACAGAAAGGGATGCAACAAGATTTTATATATCTTAAGATTAGATTTCAACTAAATACATATCATGCTAAAAAAATAAATACCAGAGATGCTAACTAGAGGTCCTTAATGGAGCTTCCACTTTAATCCTCGCGAGACACAATAAGAAAACAAAAATCCTATAAATTCTCACAAAAATCTAAAACTTTTGACCATCAATTTGGTATAATCTGATCACCACTGATAATAATATGTATTAGATCTCTTATATTTTCTAAATATTTACCCACCTCCGCTATTGTGTGAAACAACATATTATAACTCATGACGCTATATTTAAACTACCCACATACACCGTTAAGAAACATGATCTAATGCAGATCTCAATTTACGTCTAAGTGCCCGCATACTCATATTACAGTAGATAATTTATGTAACCCAATTTTCATCTTATTATTAAAAAATTAAATTTGCTCTCAAATCTAAATATAAAATATAATCCCCATATTAGTTCCTTTAAATAACCATACAACACGTATATTTGTGCATTACCCACTTCTGTCTATGCTACTATATTAAGATTTGACTAATTAAGCATACACGTTGTGTCGGCATACATGAGCAATGAATATATATGTTATGTTTCATCAAAAATATTGTTTCCTTAGCAACTCATATACATGATACTAACAAATTTTGTAAAACCATATTATTAATCATGACATAATTTATATAGGTTTTTACTTTAGATATATTTACATATTTTAAATAAATGTTTGACATGTTTATATTTATATTATAATTCAACTACACATATAATTTCTTTATAGGAAAATTCAATCATCTTCAGAATTGTGGAGACTACTGGTGGCTATATGTTTCCTGACCTTTAACATTGCTTTAGAGTAAAATTCGATCATTATAAGACTTAAGATTTAAAACTCTCTTGATGTTAGTGCTGCTACCCCCATGCAAGATCTCATTTCATGCTCTAACACTTATCTTAAGTGATATGATGCAAGTTTTGAATAATTACGTATGCTATTGTAGTATTTCAAAATGTATTCTATGATCTAAAATTCTTATTTTAAAACAGTGCAAAATGAGAGTCAATAAAAGATACAATAAGCACAAGAGTTTTAACTTGAGGAAAAAAACCTGTAGGGGTCAATAAAAAGAAATTTTGAAAAATAGATTCATGACTTCATAAAATATTTGATGCAACAAGGGCCACCAGAGTTAATGGCAAGGTTTCAAACTAGCTGTATATTAAAATATACAGAGGTGCCATGCAAATTAAAAATATGAATATGGATGAAAAATATATAAGTCAATCCCTTGCAAAAAAATAATAAGTTTGATAATTAGATATAGTCTGCGAAGTATGTATTGTGTCTATTTTGTAGGAAATAAACTAAGAAAAACATACAATTTAATATAAGTAACTTTGTATTTGTCAAATGTATTAAATAGTATATCTTTTATAATTATAACCCGTGCGAGAGCACGGATTGATGGACTAGTAATACATAGTGCATTCTAGCATTCAAAATTTGTTCTCAAATATAATGCATATGCATTCTAAAGGACAAAAACTAGTTTTACATTAAATATTTTCCACTTATCAACCAATCACCAATAATCATGTTGATGATAACGTCTGGTTAAAAAATAAAATGAGGGTACATGCATCTTTTATGTTCTCTTTTAATTTATCTTAAAACTCCTAAATTGCAGTATATTACAGGACAGAGGGAGTAGACTGTTTGAAACAGCTAGCTGGATTTTTTTTTCAACAGCTACCAACTTATTTTAGCTGATCAAACACGGCATAGACGTACGATTTGCTATAAGTAACCGGTTCCTTAACCCCTTTCACGCGTCCGGATTAAACAATCCACAGAAACTTTCCTCTATAGCCACTAATCATTTGCATGCAACACCCAAAAAAGCTGTGGGCACGCGGATGATCTGCTGCACGCACCGCGAATATATTTCCCAACACAAGTATTATTAGCCACTAAACATGCATGTCCTTAATTAACACATGTCGTCCTTAACACCAAATTAACTACAACATAGAGAATTTATGTGTCCTTCCATTCAAAAATACTTCCAGACAGAAAAAAAAACTTGATTATGCATGCCACAACACATGTCTGTTGCCTCTTGTATTTCTTCATGGTATTATTTTTTAGAGGTAAAGGGCAAAGCCCCTGTCTTAGCATAGCAAAGACAAACGTAGCATTCAGTTACAGCATTCAGGTGGGTCTCACCAATCCAAGCAGTTCAAAAAGAAAGCCCATTAGGCTAGAGAAAAACTGAACCCTCAGCTTCACACCTCCTCTACCAAACCTACACCCAGAAGACTAAAGCATGCATTGCTGTTGGTAAGACCACCTTCACCGAGCTTATCAGAGAGCCTTTCCTGGAGCTCAACAGGGATTGCGTGATTCTTCCAGTTGAAAGTGTTACGACACTACTAGTGGATTCACATGTTTAACACGAATTTAACACAGAATAGTGAGTGGATTCGGGATACATCGAGCCTAGCTCGTCGATCTCCGGACGCAGCCGGCCGGGTTCAGTTCCGTGTTCTTCCTTGCCTTCTCTCCCCTTTCTTCCAGCTAGATAACGGCTTCCTCACGCCCCCTGCCGCACGCCTGAACACTGGGCCACCCAGTCTGGGCCAACACATGCCGGGTTGTCATGTGTTGGGCCTTCGAGTTCATTTGGGCCTTGTGCTCCTTCCTTGATTCTGGGCTTCAACACTTGTGGCATTCTTCCCGCCAGCTTCGATGCCCCCACACGACATCTTTATGGTATTATCATCTCTTGTTTCAAAACCCAGCCAATTAGGAAGTGTATGTATAACTTTTTTCTACATAATGGGAGGATTTATTCCAGTTTTAATCATGCCCTGTCGAGGATGCATTGTCCAAAAAGTTTCGGAACGTCTAGCGCCCACCTCACAAGGACCGCATGGTCGACGTCAGTGACAGCTCCACCGCACGCCGCCTCAAGAGCTTCACCAGGCGTGTGTTGAAGAAGATCGACTCTCCGCTTATTAGTGAGCCCTCCCCCCAAGTAGCCTCCTGCTAAGACGGTCTTCTTCTGCTGCGCGGAAGCGGTGGTTAGTGATTCGAGCCTCTCTCGAGTATCTGCTTCCAAGCGAGGTGAGGTGTTGATCATGCAACGTATGGGTTACGCCAAAGGTCCATCAGCGTCATCCGCGTCGGAGCTGGAGGCCTTTGACAAGATCTTCGACAACAACTCTGCGGCCGATCAAGTCCCAACGTCGAAGCGGCTGGATGCGCTCTTGCCGGACGGTGGAAAGGGCTCGTCCGAGACAGCGCGAAGAGACAAAGGCCACCTCCAGGTCGCACCAATGCATCGGTTTTGGTTGTTTTCCATTTATATAATATCGAAACTAGAGGTCTTTAGCTAGGATGGTCTAGCTACGACTGTTTTAGGTCGACCTCATTCGGCGCTCGATAAAATCGCGTTATCTGTATGTTTAAACTCTTCTTCTTAATATCGAGAAAAAAAATAATCCTACGTCCTATTAAGATATGCTTCAGAATACCATATGCAGAAGTCAATTTCTGTGCCTTTGTTACTATTCAAATGGAACTGACCAGTACTGAAAATAATTCACTTCATAACAGCTAGCAAACGAACGGAGTATGACTTTAGCTGTTAGCTTCGCTAGACAGCTCCACAAAGCATATATATACATAAACATTTAATAGTACATAGTTTCTCTACATATATATAGACTGACAGGGCCGATTGGCAGACAGCAAATTCAACACTAAAAAGCAAGCTTTCCCAAAAATGTCGATTCGCAAACGCCTTGACCATCTTATTGGCCTCCACATCGTATTCTCTCTGTTTATTTTTGGTCCTGCAACTCCGGTCTCCGACATGATAGCTACTGGCATATATCACCGATGGCGGCAATACCCTAGTCTCGGCAGGGGGCTCATTCACGCTTGGCTTCTTCTCCCCACCTGGGGCGCCGACGAAGCGGTACCTGGGGATATGGTTCTCCTTCTCCCCCGAGGCCATCTGCTGGGTGGCCAACCGTGACCACCCTCTCAACGATACCTCCGGCGTGCTGGTGCTGACCACATTGGGCACCCTTCTCCTGCTGGACGGCTCCAACAATTCGGTATGGTCTTCCGGTTGTTCCACGCGCTCCTCATCACCTGCCACTAGTGCGCGTCTGCTCGAGTCGGGCAACTTCGTTGTGCAAGGGCAGGACGACAGCACGTTCCAGTGGCAGTCGTTCGACTACTCCAGCAACGTCTTGCTGCCCGGGATGAAGATCGGCAAGAACTTGTGGAACGGCGACGGATGGTACCTCTCGTGGTGGCGCTCCGCCACCGACCCCGGCATGGGGAGCTACCGGTACATCACCGAGCTCGGCGGCGGCACGCCGGAGAACGTGATGCGGAACAGCAACGACGGCACCAAGAGGTACCGGACGGGGCCGTGGAACGGCGAGCGGTTCGACGGCGTGCCGGAGATGGCGTCGTTCGCGACCAACTTCAGCTACCACTACCAGGTGACTGTCAGCCCGAGCGAGGCCACCTACAGCTACACCGCCAAGCAGCCCGGCGCTCCATACTCCCAGGTGAAGCTGGGCGAGGCAGGAAGGAGTGATCCTGCGGCTCGTGTGGGATGAGACCAATCGGCAGTCGCTTCTTGAAGCAGCAGAGGGACGACGACTGCGACATCTACGCACACTGCGGGCCGTTCGGCCTGTGCGACAGGAACGCCGCGTCCAGGTCGCTCTGCAGCTGCTTCAAGGGCTTCGTACCGGCGTTTCCCAAGGAGTGGTCCCTCAGGAAGTACTCATCCGGCGGGTGCCGCCGGAACGTTTCTCTTGATTGCAGAAACCAGAGCCGGAGCCGGAGCAGCACGGACGGGTTCCAGGTGGTGCCTTCCGTGAAGCTCCCCGACACACAGAACGCAACGGTCGACATGGCCACGAGCCTCGAGGAGTGCAGGCTCAGGTGCCTCGCCAACTGCTCGTGTGTGGCGTATGCTGCCGCCGACGTAACAGCAGGCGGCGGCGCCAGTGGCTGCATCATCTGGACCGACTCTTTCATTGATCTGCGCTTTATAGAGGAGGGCCAGGATTTCTACCTGAGGCAGCCCAAGTCACTCTTAGGTAACAAGTCCACAAATAAAGATTTTTTTCCTTTTTTTTTTTGCCTAGCTATATATGTGGTTGTAGTTTTAATTAAAGGGCATTGCATGCATTCACCTTATAAGTCATCATAAGAAGCAAATCTGTCTTGCAAGAAACCTGAACCTTTTTCATACATTGCACTCCAGTCTGATATTCAACTCTAAACTATTAAACTAGACCTCTCCAACTATTGAAACATGACAAATTTGGTCGTCTAGTATTTTTCTACAAATAATAATAAAAATATGGTTTGATATCTTATAATTCATAGTTAATTTTCTTATAAACAAGAAAAACATGAAACTAGTACAAACATTTTTCCTAAAACGTTATCTACCTATTTATGCTCTATATAAAGGTATTTGGAATTAGTTTATTTTAGTTCCAATTATTTTATTGCTTTGTAGTTGTGTTCATTATTTATTAATAGAAATAATATTTAAATAACTCTAAATAGAACACCAACAGATAGATACCATATTTTTAGAAGAAAACTGGAACTGCTTTCACACTTCCTGATTTAAAATAAATTGTACTTAGTGAAAGATGATGTGACACTTAGGTGTTGTTTGGTACAAGCATCGGTAACGCAAATGTAATGGACTTAAAGGTAAGGATGTTACGGCAAGCCATTCGATTTGAAGTAAGGTGTTGTTTGGTAGAAGCGTTGGTAACGCAAATATAATGGACTAGAAGCTACGGAACGGCAAGCCATTCGATTTGAACTAATATTATTTCTGTTTGCGTTACTGTAGAACAAACCAAACAGTGCCTTAGTGAAACATGAATCAATGTTTTCCTAAACGGTAAACGGTCTTTACACGGTCGCCCTTCGTTTAGCGTTTAGACTGTTTATACGGTGTTTAAACGAAGTTAAATGGTCTAAACGGTTTTGTACTTAAAAAATACATATAATTATATATGTGCATGTAAAAAATCAAGTATTCTAGCATTTATACATATTTATCCGAGTAAAAATTAATTATTTTGGTATGTATATATATTTATGCATGTGAAAAGAACCAAATATAGATATTTATGCATGTAACATATCAAGTGTACATATTTATAAATATAATAAACTTAAGTATACAAATTTATCCATACAAAACTGAACTAGATTTACCTCGTGTTCGCCTAAACGGCCGTTTAAACAGCTGTTTAGCCCGTTTAATGCTGTTTATCTCCGTTCCGTTTAGGCCGTTTTTCCCGTTTTTTTGACCGTTTAAACGGTTAACCGCTTAATTTTCGTTTACCCCTTAAACAAAACAGTTTACCACCGTTTACCGTTTACTGGCCGTTTAAACGGCCGTTTAATCCGTTTAGGCAAACAGTGAACATGATATAAAACTTGGTGAGGATGACACATGGATAGCATATATATGTTGAAATATAAAAATAGTGGGAATTAGTTTTATAAGAGACAAGGAAACGGATAGGGATATATAGATATACATGCGGGTCTATACATAATATGAACTAAAAGGTTCACCTCTTCCAACAGGTGGGAAGAACAAGAACAAAGTCAAGATTGTCGTAGCTGCTGCTGTTGTTGTGGGTGTGGCATTAGTTTTGGCCGCTATTTTTGGTACTATCTGGTGGAGGCGGAGAGTGACGTCCAGGCCTGCCGAAGATCCATGTAAGCTTTTGTTTGTTCCAAAAACTTAAACTACGTGCTGGCTGATCTTGCTTTATTTTATTATTATTATTATAAGCTACACCGCCCGCTACGACGCCAGCGCCGGCTCGTCATTCGATTCACTATCGAATCTTAAAAGATGCCACAGAAAATTTCTCAGAAAGAAACAAGATTGGTCAAGGATTTTTTGGGACAGTATACCAGGTATGAGAATCTCTGATCAATAGCTAGAATTAGGCCCCTTTGATTGTAGGAAAGTTTTCCGTTTCCTACCTTTTTTTCTATAAAAATGAACCGATTTTTGTGAAATTCCTATACAATTCCTGTGAAATTTCTGCAACCAAAGGGTGCCTGAAAATTATCTTTGATTGGTTTGGGAATCAATATTGGCTCCAAACACTGCATTCAGGATTGTATGTAACTTGATTTTTTTTTTTGAGGACGTACCTAGGCACATATTTTATCAATATAGGAAGATAGTTATATATGATGATGCCGGCACATGAATTCGAGAGGAACCCAAAACGCGGAGTTACAACTTACCACCACTACGCCAGATTTGCATATCACTGCCGGCATCATCATTGTCTTCACTGCCAGTTATGAGCTTAAAAATAAAAAAATGATTGGGGCTAGACTAAAACCAGCAGTGAAGGACCACATCACTGTCGGTTTGTGGCTTAAACCGGCAGTGTTTTGACGGCCACTCATCACTGCCGGTTTAAGCCAAGAGCCTACAGTGATTAGGCTCTATCACTGTCGGTTCTAGCCAAGAACCGACGGTGATAAGCCTACAACACAAAAAGGCTGCAGTCGTCCTCTCCTTCCTCCTCTCTTCCATCCCGAGAACAGAGGCGTGCGTTTGGACCCTTCCCTCCATTGTTGCGGCTGCTCTTCACCATGAAGCTAGTGCTTGGATTTTGAAGAATGACTTGCTCTTTTTGCTTTAAGGTTAGTAACAAACATCAACTTCTTTGATTTTGTTGCTTAATTAGCTTCGTTTTGAAGGCTACATTGCTTGATTCTCATTCTAGAGAGCACTTTTCTAATTGGACATTTGTGCAAGGCTCAAATTGTGGTGAATTCATCATCTAAACGGTTGGTGTCTATGAACATATTTAAATTCCTAGCTATTTATTCCATGGTGGTCAAGATCATCCTTGTTAGTATGTCATGCTATAATTAGTTCTTAGAAGTAGAGTAGAATATATGTTCTTCATTATTGCGCAATAATTGTTTTTTACTACGATTTTCAATTTACAGGGCTGGGGCTACCAATTTCAATTTTTCAAGAATTAGTGTACAATAATGTTTTCCAAAAATAATACTTTCGAGCTACAATTGTTGTTCATGAAGCTCGATTTCTTATTAATTCTTTGTAATTACTGTCTCAATATTTTTTTGTGCAGAGATGGACGAGAGTGGATGCATCTGTCCCGAACGGACAAGCGGTACATGCATGACGTCAGCCAGTTTATCACCGATGCCAAAGCCTATGCTGGAAATGGGAACCCTGTCTTCTGCCCATGCAAAGATTACAAGAATCATAGGAACTTTCATCAAATTAAGTCTATACGATCGCACTTGATTACCAGGGGTTCATGCCAAACTATACGATATGGACTATGCATGGTGAGGTTGGTGTGAATGTTCTGCAGAAAAACGATGATGATGTGGACATGCCTGACGTAGCCATCCACGATGCTGACGAGGAACCCGGTGTCAATACGGAACCTATAGCCATAGTTAATAATGTGTTTAGGAACACGCTAGCTGACGACACTGAGGATAACGATGGCATTTCTCAGCTGTTACATAATGTAGAGACCGGATGTCTTAGTGAAAGACAGCTGAGAAAGCTAGAGAAAATAAGACAAGATGGCAAAACACCATTGTATAGGAATTGTCCAATGTGCAAGCTAGAAGTCGACATCATGCTGTTAGAGTTCAAATTGATAAACGAATTGAGCGATAAAGGCTTCGATCAGTTGTTAGGTATAATAAGGAAAATGCTCCTAAAAAAATGAGTTGCCAGAAAAGACAAACTTGGCCAAGCAAATGATCTGCCCCATCGGCCTCGAGGTTGAAAAAATCCACGCGTGTTCCAATGATAGCATATTGTACCATGGAGAAAAATACAAAGACTTGGACAAGTGCCCCAAGTGTGAAGCTCCATGGTACAAGGAAGGGCCATCAAATGAGGGTACCAAGACCAGAGGAGGCCCCGTAAAAGTCATTTGGTATTTCCCTATAGCTCCCCGGGTGCATAGGCTGTTTGCATGTGCAAAGTCAGTCAAGCTGTTGCGCTGGCATGGCAAAGAGCGTAAGAAAGATACAATGATGAGGCAGCCCACCGATGGGCATGACTGGAGGACTATCAATACTATGTTCTATAAGGATATCGGTGGAGAGGTAAGGCACATTTGGTTTGCTTTAAGCATAGATGGGATGAATCCTTTCGACCAGGTTAGAAGCAATCATAGCACTTGGCCAGTGACGCTCTATATATACAACCTTCTACCTTGGGTCTGTATGAAGCGGTCATACATCCAGATGCCACTAGTGATCTAAGGGCCAAGACAATCTAGAAATGACATCGATGTGTTTCTAGAACCAGTGATCGATGAAGTAGTGGAGATGTTTGAAAAGGTTGTGCCGGATGTTTGGGACGAGTACAAAAAGGAATATGTCACGATCAAGGGAGTACTTATCGCTACAATCACCGACCTGCCAGGTCAAGGTTCGTTGTCCAGAGAGAAGACAAAAGGCTATACTAGATGTGTCGAGTGCTTGGACGACACCGATATGGTAAATCTACCAAATAACTAAAAGATAGTTTATATGGGAGACC